TACAATATACATAATTTATCCAGTTTTTTCTGTCATACCCGAACTCTGATGTCAGACCCATTCTACAGCAGTGGCACCATGCAATATTTGTCCCTTAGTGACTGAGATTCTATCAGTTGTTTTATGGGAGAAAGATGGGCAGCATTTTTCTGCGCAATTTGCTGCTTCTGAAAACCCCACTGGAATGTCAGCTACTGGATGTTTCAACTCGACAGAACATGACAACAAATTCACAGAAACAGACATATTATTGAAGATCTGAGTTAGAGAGTTTTATGTTGTTAATTATTGTTGTTGTTAAAGTTCTGTCTAGTTAAGTACAACTCATAGCAAACCTATTAACAATAGGATCTATCCTGCGCCTTCCTGACAGACAAGAGCCCATTGAAACTGTCACATGTCAGTCCACCTGGTTGAAATTCTTCTTCTTTGCCCACCCACCACCCTTCCCAGCATCATGTCCTTCTCCAAGGAATAGCCCTTCCTAGGAACATACCAAAATATGTGAGGCAAAGCCTTGTAATTATTGACTCCAAAGAGCTCTTTAGCTGCACCCTCTCCAAGAACAAGAGAGTTTTATATAGGACATTGTCAATTTTAAAAATAGAATTTTTATTTAATACTAGTTTATTCACAAAGTTTGTATACCTTGTTTTTCACACCAGATCTTTCCCATTTCCCTTACACACCCCTTCCTCCACCAATTATACAACCCTGTGATTAAACACCCTCCCACCCCCTGCACATCCTCACCCCTCTGTTCCCTTCTTCCCTCCTTTGGATCATCATACATGTAAAATAATGGGCTTATCCAGTATTTGTCCTTTTGAGACTGAGTTAGTTCACTTAGCTTTTATTTCTTTCCAGGCCCTCCCAAGGCTAAGTACTGATTTACAAAATCATTGCCCTACATGCTACATAGTATTCCATTGTGTGAATATACCATAATTTCTTAATCAGTTCGATTATGGTTGGACATTTAGGCTGTTTCCATGTTCTTGTGATGGTGAAAAATGCTACTGTGAACACTGGTGTACAAGTTTCCATTTGTGCCCTGTTCTCATTTTCTCAGGGTATATTCCAAGTAGTGAAATATCTGGGTCATATGGAATTTCTATGTTCAGCTTTCTGAGGAAACACTATATTGCCTTCCAGAATGGTTGTACCATTTTACAATCTCATCAACAGTGTGTAAGAGTTCCTGTCTCTGCTCTGTGTCTCCAACATTCATTACTTGCTCTTCTGTTAAACTTTGCCACTGCTACTGGAGTGAGATGGTATTTCATTGTGATTTGATTTGCATCTCTCTTCTTGCCAGTGATTAAAGTAGCAGGATATAAGATCAATATCCAAAATTCAATGAGATTCCTCTACAGTAACAAAGAAAACTAAGAGAAGAAAACAAAGAAAGTACCATTTATGGTAGCCAACCACAAATTAAGATACTTGGGAGTGAACATAATTATTGTTGTTGTTATGTGCCATCGAGTCGCTTGTGACTCATAACGACCCTATGTACAAGAGCCCTAAACACCGTTCTATTCTGTGCCAACCTCGCTGTCTCAAACACATTCATTCCCACCACTCCACTCACAGAATCAATCCA